AAATAAGATTTGGGACACAGAATGGAGCCTCCCACGTTTGTAGAAAAAGTCCACGAAAAAAAAGTCATGCTGGTTGATTCAAGTCAGTTTCATTGCTATTCAGCAATCCCTTTTCTGCCCTTATTGGTTCCTTTCTGAATTTCCCCTGGGGAATAGTCCCCAAATTCCCATTTCTTTATATCCAGTCACTCCCTCTGGTAGGCTGCGAAATATCCCCCTAAAACATACTCATGTCAAATCCCTATAACCTGTGGATGTTACCTTACTTGAGGAAAACAGGCCGTTGAAGATATGATTAAGTTAAAGATCTTGTGGTCGGGAGCTAATCCTGGATCATCTGGGCGGTCCCCGAATATGCCATGACAAGTATCCTTATGAAAGAGAAGCGGAAGGAGAAGACAGATCGTCACACACAAAGGAGAAGGCTCTGTGAAGGCGGAGGCAGAGCCTGGAGTGATGCGGCCACAAACCGTGGGACACCATGGAATGCCAGCAGCTCCGGGAGCAAGGAGAGGCAAGCAACGGATTCCTCCTCAGTGCCTTCAGAGGGAGCGTGGCCGTGCGGATACCTTGATTACAGAGCTGTGAGGAAACGCATTTCTGTTATTTTAAGCCGTCAAGGTTGCGGGCCATACTATGAGGATATCTAGCCCTGATCGAGGGACCAGCTCAGAGTCCTAAAGCCAAGGTCTGGACCAGCATTCCCCGAGCCTCCCCTTCGCACCTGAGAACAGAGGCCAGCGGTTCTGCCACGAAACGCACGGCACGTCGCTGGAAGTCAGGGTGCTGGGGCCAGGCCAATGTTTGCCTTTTTCTCCACGTCTCGGCGAAGCTACTCAAAACCCTCTCTTCCCCCAGCAGGAAAAGCATATGTTCTTTCCATATAGAGAAGAAATTGTTCCACGAGTGAGTAAGCCTCTTGGCCACGGAGCCTGGCCCAGCCCGCAGAATGCTGGGCAGGAAGCGGGCAGCATTCGATACCACTCTGGGACCTGGACTGGACTGGCGTCCGACCCTCAGGGAGAGCAGCCTTCGGGTGGGGTGGAGGGCATCGGAGAGCAGAGGCCAGGATGCGCGGGGCAGGGTAGGGAATCCTGTCCCTGAATAGAAGTGCTTCTCCATTCGGACTGGGCCGGGATGGGGAGGCTACGGGTCTGACAGGGCAGGCGGCCTGTCCAGTCCCCTCTGGAGAAAGCAAACTAGTCTGGATCAGAGGTGACTCAGGTGTGCTCAGCGAGGCCAGGCCATTTATAAATTGTCATTTTCAGCCACCCCCACATTCTCCTTGGTGCCTTCAGGGGTAGAGATGAGAGTCATGAAAATGACCTGAAGATGGGTGAGAGGTCATTATGTTAGAGTGGGGGCAGATTTGTCCTGATTAGGGGCCCTGTGTGTATAAATCACCCTCTGAGGAGTGCTTTTGAGATAGTGAATTCTCTGTCATTGGACACATCCAGGTTGAGAGTGGATGGCCCCTAGTCGAAGGGGTCAGGTGTCAGGTGAGAGGTGGACTAGAGCTTAGGTCTCAAACTGGTAGCCCGTGGGCCTGACACAGCCCTGAAGATGTTCCCACTGGCCAGCATTTCTGCAGCCACATTCAGCTGGGCTGAGTGCCAGCTGCCCAGGCCAGCAGGGCATACACTCCCAGTTTTGCGTGGCACATCAGTCCTGGGTCACTCATTTATTTCCAGACTGGCCCCTTAAGGATTGATGTCTGTGAGCCTGGGGGCAGAGGCCCTGACCAGACTCATGCTTCTCCCTCTCTGGGTTCACCCTGTGGGCCCACTTGGGGAAGGAGAAGGTGGTACCTTCCACGGGCTCAGGTGAGACCACCTGAACGGGATGCAGGTAGAGCTCCCATCTGGCTAGAGACCACTGCATCGCACACTCCTCTAACCCCTCCTCACGCTGCCATCGTGCTGGAGGGTGTCATGGTCTCTGGGGAGGCACCACGCAGGACAGCACAGTCCTTTACCTGGCTTTCCTGCCCTGGAGCAGAGCCAGTCCCTCAGGGTGTCTAGGGCCTGGGAAGGGTATCCATGCAGGTGCACTGAGAATCCAGACAGAAGGGACAAAGTGAGCAAGTGCACCCCCCACCCCGGTCCAGGGACGGGGGGCCCAGAACGGATCCAGCAGCACTGGGTCCGAGGGGAGGTGGGGAAGGATTGCGAGGGGGAAGAGGGGCTGAAAACTAACCAGGGGAAACAAAGCAGGGTAGCTGATGGGCTTGGGGAGAAGAGATGGGGTGGGAAGGCAGTGCTAGGAAGCCCCGTGTGCCTCCGGGGGACCCTGACTGGCACTTTTCAGAACTGAGAGCAGAAGACCAGGAAGGTGTGGCCTCCGCAGGGACAGGATTCCACCTGATGCCTCTCCAGGGTGGGGCAGATTTCAGAGTGGTTTCGCTTCCCTGCTCCCGTTCGTTTCCGCGACCAGAAGACCAGGAAGGTGTGGCCTCCGCAGGGACAGAATTCCACCTGATGCCTCTCCGGGGAGGGGGCAGATTTCAGAGTGGTTTCACTTCCCTGCTCCCGTCCGTTTCCGCGATAGCTGTAGGAGTTGGGATGAGTATTTCCGTTCTACAGAAGAGGAGACCGAGGCCGAAGTTGCCCAGGCCGAGTTCAGTCACTAGACAGCAGCAGGGCTCCTCCTGGGTATTTACTGGGTCTGCTTTCTGACATGCCGCTCCCGGCCACCAGGAGTGGGTCTGCTGGGGGTGACAGAACGGGTCGCAGAGCAGCCATTCGCAGCTCTCAGCTTCCCTTCCTCCGTCCTTCACAACCTCATTGAATAAACCCAACATTTGCAGGCATCGACTCCAGTCGTGTTGGGACCCAGCTAGATCAGGAGTCTAGAGAGGCAGCTCAGAGGCAGCTCTTTATCATGATCGGTGGCGGTGGGTGCTGTTTATGGGCACCCTGGGTATGAGATCTCAGTCTTCCTCTCAGCCTGTTCAATGGATGGGAATGCTGAGCCTCTCAGAGGTGAGACATTTAAGCCAGGTTGGCCTGATTTTATAGCTGGTGCTTTCTCTAGAGAACTTAACATCTTTGTTTTTTAAGTGACTGTGTTTTTCACACCTCTGAAAAAGGCTGTGCAGGAGGGGAGAAGCCTGAGCAGGGTGGAGCCAACAGTGCATGCTGCCGTAGGGGGTCGTGACAGTCTCCACGGCTGTGTCAGCCTGGGACGAGGGGCGGTTGCCTCGGTTTCTCTCCCCTGGGGGACCCAAGCACCACAGCTGGAAGCAGGAAGTCAGGTTAGATTTCCTTTGGGAATGTTTTTCTTTTGGGAAGCCCGGTTCATCTCTCCTTTCAAGGAAACCTGAGGCCATGGGGGAAAAAAACACAACCTTCGGGGAGTTGGAGAGCTTGGGGTCACTTTCTAGGCCAGGTTGTATCTCAGCCCCAGCCCCTCTCTGAGCTTCTGCTCAGCGGCTGAGTGAAGGCAGCCAGGAGGGTCCCTCTGGCAGCATCCTGCCCATCTTTGAAGACATGGCCCTCATACTTCCTGCCAAAGTTTTCCTCAGGCTGGTTCTGCCGGTGAGGCCTCTGGCCCACAGACGGTCCAAGGGCACCACTTGGTGGCCAGTCACAGCCAGACAAGGCAGCTGCACCACGCGGCTTCAAAGGTTCATAACAATCACACAACAGCAGAAGGCAAGAGAGAACCCTGAGAACTCAAGCTGCACCTCCGCACGCTCCCAGATGTCGGATGTGGGACAGAGCCCTCCAGGTTCCCGGGGGTCTGGGTGCACATGGGAGGAGTTTGGGGCCGGACGGGCCTGTGCTTGAATCCCTGTGTCCACAGCCTTACCTTGAGTTTCTCATTTGTACGGTGGGGCTATTTATGATACATCTTGCAGGGCTGTGGCCTTCTCTCTGCATGGCAGACAGCCGAGGGAGACAGCAGGGCAAGGCTGGACCAGCGACAGGATGTCCAGCCTGGTGGCCCTCAGCCCTTAGGCCAGTGGCTCTCAACTGTGGCTGCACGTTACAATCACCTGATTGTAGGCAGCGCTTCTTGACGCCTGGTTCGGGGCCAGCAGTATCAGCATCAACAGGGAACTTGGTAGGAATTCAGATCCTAGGACTCCGCCCCAGGCTTGCTGAATCAGAAGGTCTGGGGGTGGCCCAGCACCCTCCAGGTGATGCTGATGCACAGCCAAATGTGAGAACACGGTGTTCAGGTGCTGGGGCTGCTTATAAAGCACGCGTGGTCATTCAACTGTCCTTAAAACACCAGCAATTCTTGTTTTAGTGGAGCTGAAGTGGGGCCCAGGCACGGATTAAAATAACAACTCTAGCTGATGCTAATGAAAAGTCGTGGCCTTGGTTCAGACCCTTCTCCCCCGATGCTACCCTCTTCCTTCAGAGGGCTGTGTATGCAGCTGTTCTCCCGGGGTCCCCTGGATCCTCAGGTGGTCCAGAGACTAACCATCAGTTATTGACATTTGGTGGGTGCCTGAGTTCTGACAAGTGTGATGATAGGGGCATTGTATGCAACACCTCCCAAGAATCCTATGAATTGTTAGAATTCTCCGCTTCACAGTTGCAGGAACTGAGGCACAGGGAGGTTAAGTAACTCGCCCTACGTCACACAGCTACTAAATGGCAGAAGGAGGACTCTAACCTAGTTCCCCCTGACACTAGAGCCCACTACCTCTGCTTCCTCATTTTATAAATACGAAGAGGAATGACTTGCACCAAGATGAGGTGAATGGACCTCTGAGCCAGGTGGCACTCCTGGGAAATCATGCCACCCCTCCATGCATAAAAGTCACTGGAAAAGGGAGGCAGAGGCAGGCCTTACTAATTAAGTCACATGCCACCTGGATGCCTGGAGCTTCTTCTTGGACCACAGGATTCAAGCTATTAAGGAAATTGACACTTGTCCCCCCCCATCCCAACTCCAGTCATCATCACGCAGACTGGGGTCCGTCCACCGTTGCCTGGCTCAGAGAGAAGAAAGGCAAAGACGAGAAAGGGGACCGATGACAGAGCGGAGAAAATATAGAAGCATTTTACTACTAAAGATGCATTTTCCAAAAGCGAGGTTGCTGCTTTCCTGAGACGGAGGCCTCTGGTCCCCGGGAGCGGGGCCGAGTAGAGCTGACACTGCCGGCGAGGAGTCCTCAGCGGGATCGAATTCGCCGGGCGATGCGATAGAGCTCCATCGTTGCCCTGGCATCTTCCACCGAGCTGTGCCCAAACTGGCTGTTCTGTAGACACAGGGACAGAGTGGGGACTTGGAGTGGGGCCGAATGCAGAGGCCCTACGTGACCCTGCCCGACCCTGCTCACCACACCCCAACTTCCAGGACTCTGAGGTGTGTCAGTGGGTGAGTCTCCCCAGACCTCTGACACCCTGGACTCAGCAGGTAGCTGGAGAAAGCCTGACTTTATCCATTAGCCCTGGGACCAGGACACTAAGGCCCAGGCACAACATCCAGTGTCCCGTCCACGCCCATCCATTAGCCCTGGGACCAGGACACTAAGGCCCAGATGTGGCCAGGCACAACATCCAGTGTCGTGTCCATGCCTGCGAGGTGCTTACAATCCAGGGACAGGTGGGGACGCTGCAGACTTGCTGCTGGACGCAGAAGGGCTAAAGCAGCTGTGACAGCAATGCTGGGCACTGGGGAGTATGTTGAAAGGGCCACTTGCTCAGTAAGTGGAGAAGGTGTTATTTGGTGAATCAGTGTGCAGGCCATTCTGTCCTTGGTCCTGTGTTCCTCAAGGCTAACAGAGGGGCCAGAACTCAGCCCCATCCCTGCTTCCTATGTGATTCCTGCCGCCCGGACAAGCAGGCTGGGGTGCCGGGGCTCGCGCTGTGCCTCCCACACCCCCTCTCCTGCCTTCCTCCACCCCCCTTCATTCTTCACACTCCACGTGGATCTGGTCTCTGGTCCTGCCACTCATTCTTTCTTTGTCCCTGCTCCCAGGACACCTGCCCTTCCCTCCATCAGACACTCCCCACAGCATGTGCTGATGATTTGGTTAGGGGCCACCCTCCATTGAACCAAGGACAGGGCCTTGGTCAGCTGGTGTCCCCAGCATCTAGTTCAGCCTGATGTGTAAAAAATATCTGATAACCTGGAAGCCCAACAAAGATACTGCCCCTTTCACAAGCACAGAGCTGCTCAGGACTAGGGGAAGACAGTGTCCCTGGGGTTGAATATTTGCTCTGCAGCCATGGGGGGCGGGGGGCGGTTAGCATCTTGGCGGGAAGAGCCAGGCCCCAGAGCAGACCCTCCTAGCGATGCCCGGGGCGGGCTGCCCAGAGGCCGGGGTTGGCCGCCCCACCCCGGCCCCGGGACGAGAAGGCCGTCCTGACCTGGATGTGGCGCCCAAGGAGGCGCTCGCTGAGCACCCGGAGGGAGACACGCTTGCAGTTGTCCAGGCCGGCCTCATGCCACAGCAGCCTGTCGGTGGCCGTGTCGTAGATGGCGTAGCCACTCATGTCCTCCTTCAGCGCCTTGAAGTCGTGCTTCAGGTCATGTCCTACCACCAGCTTGCCTTTCAGGAGCTGCAGGATCTGAGCAGGGAGACACACACCCCACGCATCACCCGGGTCCTTTGGGTGGGTCTGGGGCGGCGTGGTGCCCTTGTGCATGGCAGGGAGCAGCCCGTCCTCCACTTGCTGTCTGACCTTGGGCAAAGCACCACCCCTCTGAGCTTCAAACATGTCATCTGCAAAGCGGGAAGAGGGCACCAAGTCCCTCCTCACGCTGCATATTCTAGGCCCATCCCAATTTCTCTGTGGTTTCGATGCGTGAGATAATAAGAGAACGTGTATTGGTCTCTGCCCCCCGGTTCCTGACGCAGAGCTTCCGAAGCCCTTGGAATTCCCTGCGTGACAGGAGTGTCATGTTTTCTAATGAGGCGACTCTGGAGGGGCCCCTGGATGGGTGCTGGTCTCTGGAATAACCAAGCCATGATTAGAAGCTTGGGATTTTCAGTCCCCTCTCATTCTCCTGGGACGGGAAAGGGATTAAAAATAGAGGTAATGATTAATCATGCCTTCATGATGAAGGCTCCATAAAATCCCAGAAGTACGAGGCCTGCAGGGCTTTGGGGTTGGTGGGCACAGGAGGTGCTGGGGGTCTGGCGCCCGGGCAAGGCATAGAGGCTCCATGCCGCTTCCCACATACCTCGCCCTATGCATCTCGTCCGTCTGTGCCCTTTCTCATACCCTTTAATAAACAATGTGTGTCCCTGGGTTCTGTGAGCTGGTGTCCGAAGTGTGTCTGTGGAGGGGCCGGTCTTGTAGGAGCGAGCCCTCAGCCTGTGGCATCTGACGCTATCTCCAGGTGGACAGTATCAAAATTGAATTGAATGGCAGGACACCCATCTGGTGTCCATTTGTGCGGGAGAAGCCTCCACACATTTGGTGACCAGAAGGGTCCAAAGTGAAGTGTCTATGTAACAGTAAAGGGGACATACATGGAAGAAAGATATAGTAGGGAAGAACAGGGTTTTTCTTTACATAAGAAGGAAAATAAATTGGGGCTTTTCCTTTACGCAGTGGCCAGCACCTACTGAGCGTGTCCCGTGTGCCAGGCACTCATAAATGCATCACGTATATTGTGTCGTGTAATCCTTTCAACAGCCCTACTGTGGCAGGCGGAATAATGACCTCCCAAAGAGGCCCGCGCCCTAATCCCCAGAATTTGTGAGCACGTTACATGGCAATGGGATATTGAAGCTGCAGCTGGGCTTCGGGTTGGTAATCATTTGCCCTTAAAACAGGGAGACTTGCCCAATTATCCGTGCAGGCCGGGCATCATCACAAGAAGTATCGACATTGTTTGGACCACTAGGTTTTGGGGTGATTTGCTAAGCACTAGTAGATAACTAGGACAGTCACACAGCTCGTGGCAGAGCCAGCCTTCAAGCCAGCAGCCGGGCTCCAGTGCCTGTCTGTCACCGCGACGCTTTGCAGGAAGAGCAGGCCCGCTCGCGGTTTCTGGCAGCTTAGCAGCCAGGCCACAGGGAGCAGCCCTGACTGTGACCCCAGCCTGGTGCCTTACACCAGTGCCCGCATCTCACCTCCTCTGCCCACGGTGGCCTGACAGCGAATCTGCCTCTGGCCACACTGGCCAGTCCCCTTTCTTTGCAGTGCCTTATGACAGCCTGCCTCTCTTTCTCTGTGCATAGCCCAGGGCTGTAGTCTGTGGTCCAGGAAGGAAACTTCTGGATGGCTGGCACCCTCCTCCATCCTGCTTCTGCCTCTAGTGGCCTCCTGGGACTTACATGGGGCCTTGGATATGCTCTCCCTTGGACATCATAGGATCCTTATGCCCACTTTACAGAAGAGAGAGCTGAGGCTCAGAGAGGGGAGATGAGTTGTCCACAGTCACAGCACTGGAGGCAGAGTCTGTCCATCTATCACGAACAGGCAGTGTCACCAACCTGCCCCACTGTTCTTGTGGTTTTCTTGGGGCCTCGAGCCTGTGCTCAGCAAGGGACTGGAGAAGGCTCGCTGGAGGAATGAAGCGACCCACCTCTGATGGACACCAGGGCTTCTCACACTGGGGTCTCAGGATCACACCAAAGTTTGGATTCGGATTCTGGATTTCTAACAGGTGGTGCCGATGCTGCTGGGCCAGGGTACCCCTGAGGGGTGAGGGAACATGACCTCAGAGCAGCGCCTCAGGGGAAACCCTGGGCACGCAGAGGGAAGGGAAAGCTTGCAGGGCGTGGGGGATGGGGGAACGTGCTGGGCTGTGGCTAGTGCTGACATCCTTTATCTTTCCAAACAATGTGGCCCGTTTTCCCCCCTGACTAGGAGCTCAAGGCCAACTCACACACGGCCCCCGGGGAACTGTCTCCTATTCCAGATGGAAGAGGGCCAAGTCATTGTGGGGTGGATTCCTGGGAAATTTTTCACTTCCTGAGTCTAGGGGTCCCGGCAGGAGTGGGCAGGGCTACGTTCAGCACCACAGGACTCATCACGAGACATAGAATAAGAGGGGGTGGACACGAGAAGGAAGGAAGAGGAGAACAGTCTATTTAGCAGACAGACACCAACAACCCTTCTGGACAAAGATGGTGAGCATGGGCAAGGAGAGACTCGCGGGATTACTGTGTGGTCTCGGGGAAGTTAAAGACTGATGCTGGGCTTCTGATCCTCATGCGTAAAGTGAGGGCCTGGAGCGGTGAGGCTCCAGTGCCTGATTAGCAGCCTGAGCTCCTCCGGCTTTCTGAGGCTGCAAGGGGACAATGGGGCTGTCAGCCAGCGGGACCTCAGGGCTATGTGACCTGCTCTCCCTGGGATACCACAGGATCATTATAATCTGCCCTGGGTCATGAGGCAGCTTAGCCTCCTCAAACGGAGGAGGTAGAGACTCTCAAAATCCTGGAAAGAAGTGGAGAGGAAGTGGGGAAGGGACGTTTATCTATGTGCCTTCATCGTCCTGGCACCGGGCCAGGTACTTTCCCTCCCTCATCACGAGGCCTCTCAACAAGGATATTCTTAGTTCCGTGTTGCAGAGGAGGGGGCTGAGGATCAGAGAGGTTAAGAGGCTTGCCCAGGTCACACAGCTGTGAGCCGAGAGCTGAGACAGGGTGTCTGGATCCACGCGACATTATTATTATAATGGTTGTTACCACCTACTGAGAACCTCAGGACAGTATTAGCCTTATTAATTGAAGATAGGAGGGCACTTCTGGGCTCATATCAGAACTCAACAGAAGTTTCTTGAACCAGGAATACAGCCCCTAGAGGGCAGGGATCATCGTACCATCTTACCAACAGGATGCAGAGCAGTGTGCACCCATGTCACGCGGCAGGACCGTGACAGGCCCAGGTGCAGGCGTCTGCCTACATACTCCTTCCGCTGTGCTTCAGTCTAGTTCCCCGTATTTCCCAGAGGCGCTTGATCAAAAAAATTGCTCGGGGCCCTTGTTAAAAAGACATACTGAATTACAATCCCCAGGGGAGGGGCATTCGCCGGGGTCCCAGGGTATTCTCTGCATCTGATGAGTTTCTAAATCTCTGCCCTGAAGCCTGTCGAGCGACCCCAAGCCGGCTGCTTCCATTATGCATTCATCCATCCATCCATGCTTTCATTAGTTCGTCTATCTACTCATTCATTCCTGGCTATCAGGAGAGGTGGCTGTAAGGGAGTCTAAAGAATGTTATCTTTGCAGAGGTCTAGGTGACTTATTATCATCTTCAGGGGTGGCCCTGGTTCCCCTTTTTCCTCCTGTCCCCTACTCCCAGCTTGTGCCTGCTTCCCACAGGGCAGCTTACCCTGGGGGAACCTGAATTATGAAGTCGTCCTATTCTATCTGGCCAAGCCCCAGTGACGCCGGCCCAGTGGCAGCGCCCCAACAAGGCACTCCACCCGAGGCGAGGGCTGCCGTGCTGGTTACAGATCAAACAGCTCCCTGCTCACAAGGCATCGCGGCCTCCCTTCTGTCTGTGTGTCCCTCCTAAACCACAATGCTTCACAGGATTCAGTTTCCTTGTTTGCAGACTAAAAATGCAACGACCCCTCCCAATCCCCATCACGAGGTAGATGCTACTCGTCATACTTGGTTAACATCAAAAAAGCATTAACTTATAGAAGTGAGTTTCAAGTTATTAAAAATTACGGTTAGCAAAAAGAGAAAAAAAAAAAAAATTAACCTGAGAGGCGAGGGCCCTGAATCTGAGCACTAAGTCGTATCCCAGATTGTTGTGTTAGAGAAAAAAAAAAAAAAAGTTAACCTGAGAGGCGACGGCCCTGAATCTGAGCACTAGGTCGTATCCCAGATTGTTGTGCGTCCTTAGGTAACTCCCTGGCCCTCTCTGGACCTCAGTCTCCCCCTGGGTTCTCTCTTATGCTGACAGTCCGATGTGTGGGGCTCTCTATAGACCAGAATTTCTCAGCCTCGGCACTGCTGATACTTCGGTGATGTGTGTGTGGTAGGGGAGGGGCTGTCCTGTGCATCGTTGTATGTTGAGCACTCTTCCTGGCCTCTACTCCTTGGATGCCACTAGCAGGTCCCCCTCCCCACTTAGGACAACTAGAAGTGATTCTAGATATTGCTAAATGTCCCCTGGGTGGGGGGCAAAATTGCCCCACATGGAGAACCACTGCTCCAGATGATGCTCAGACTTAGAGCTGTCGGGAGATGACAGGCAGTCACTGCACGTTATAAAAGTAATGGAACCACATTACAAAAAATGAATGAGAGAAGGGGTGTCAGGGGCCCGCTCACAATCTCTGCCCCATCGCGGCAGCGTTCCGGGGTGGACTCTGGGGCTCAGTGGCTCCCCAGAGCCCTCCTGGCTGCCATGGGCTGGTCTGTGGCTCACCACTGAGCTGGGCTCACTTGCCATGCCCATGGGAGGAAGAGACAAGTTGGTGGGTGGCCTTCGAAAGATGCTGGCCTGAGCCCTAGACTCACCTGAGAAATATTACCTGGCCTTGCAGGGATTGTGAAATGGCCGACAAGCTTCTGCCCTTTGGGGCCCCCCCGAATATTGTGGGGCCCATGAGCCTGGTCTCTGTCTTTGAGATTAAAACACACTGTGGGTGATGAGTGGGATCAAGCTGCCTCGCTGTTTTTGTTCATGACAAGAAATGACAGCCGTTGCCTTGAACCACATCTTACTTACATGCCGTGCCAGATGCTGTCCTTTACATACACTGGGCACGTCACCTTCATAGGATGCATTTACACACAGTGACGTTCAGATCCCGATGTTCACAGGATCTGAACATCACAGAGCAAACTCTGGAGCCAGAATTTGAGCCTCTGCTCTGCTCCGTCCTTGGATGGTTTGCTCAGCCTTGTGCCTCAGTTTTCTCATCTGTAAAGTGGAGTGATGATACCAGTTAAGTACCTGCCCGTCCCGTGGTGGGGACCGAGGCAGTGGTGCGTTAAAAGTGCTTAGAACAGTGCCTGGACATGGTGCTGGATGCACCTGTGCTTCTGCCATCGCCCCTAGGTTACAGAGGATCCTACTGAGGGGCACAGAGAAGTTTAGCAACAAGCCAGAGGACATAGCAATCAGGTGGCAGAGCTAGGGTTGGTCCCATGGCCAGCCTGAAGACAGTGCTTGCTCCCCAGCCCTGAGCTGTGTGTGTATTACTGCATCTCAACAGCAAAGGCCTGCATGAGGACAGAGGTGGTTTTGTTCCACGCAGTTGCCAGGACTCCTGTGTTAAAGCAAAAAGGGCGAGGGACCACCGCCCCCCCCCATAGGGTGGGGTTGGGGAGGAACATAAAGGGCCCCTCTGGCCTGGGCCTGCCACAATGGTAGCAT